TATACTATATATATTATTTTTTTAAAGTTGTTATAAAAAATAAAAATTATAAATTTATAGTTTGATTAAATTTAATAATAAAATAAATTATCTATATTAAATCTTTAAAGTTTTATTAAAATTTTATTTTTAAATTAAAATATTTTATATAATATATAAATTTATTTATATTTTATATTGATATAGGTTTATAAATCTATTAATTAATAAATATATTTGAACTGTTATATTTATAATAATTATATACAGTATCTTGTCAAAATTTTTACAAATATTCAATTATTAGATATTTTTATTGATACAAATTTAAATTATAAAAAATTGTTATTGTAAAATATATAATCATCTAAAAATGAATGATAATTATTGTTAGATAAGCAATAAACATATTTAAGCAATCAACTATTTTTGTTAAATATATGAATAATTAAGATAAATTATTTTTTATTAGAAAAACAATGATTTTAACATTGTAACATACATGCATAATATTGAATATCTGGCTATCGACATAATAGATCAATTGAAAGTGTGACCAGTATTTAATATTTTTTTGTTAAAAAAAAAAAAAGGTAACGCACTTATTTGACAGACGTGTAAACTTGTTTACCTATCATTATCTAAAATTTATTATTATTTTTAAATTAGAAGAATTTTTGTGGGAACAGCAAATATTCATAATTAATAAATTTGTGGTCAGATTAATTAATGAGCTGATTGCATTTCCCCGAGGCCGCGTGAAACACTTCTTTCGAGACATCTGTCGATAGACTGTACCCTTCCAGTTAGTCACCCTTTAGACAAGGATCCAATTACCGATTAACCTTACAAATCAAATATCCAAAAGGTAATTTAAAATGAATTAAATTTAATGCATGAATGGTGCAAATGAATACATTTTCTCTAGTGGCCCTCGCTTATTTCATTCGAATCAATTTATCACAATGCAAATGATCAAGTAATATAAGGTTGAAAAAAAACCTTTTTTCTTCCCCAAATCGGGTGTGCAAAGTTGGACAAGTTGCCTTATTTGTAAATTTCTAATAGTAAGTAAATTTCCGACAGGTTGAAGACCGAGCAAAGATTCCTCGCCATTCCGAAAAAGGAAGTTATTCCTTAAAATCGTGCGAGACAATGGAAACTAAATATGAATGACAAGAACAATAAACACTTACACGGTCATTTGCAGATGAACTATATTCAATATGACGCCTTTGACGGTGTATGTATGTAATTTGGCGGTTAAAACGAAAATCCTGATGATATTCTCAGGGATACACTTGTGCCTGTTGCATGTAAGAATGAAAACGTACTTCCGACAGGACCCTTAAGACCTGTCTATCCTGGAACAATGACAGCTTCCTTGTCATCATATCCCTTGTTAATCTCAATCCTGATTACAAATTCCGATTCTCAAACATCTTGTTTATGGAATTGGCGATCAGGGAGCATCACTCTTTCTTTGGCATATTCGTTCTTTGTTTAAGTGCCGTGCCATCGGGAAATTAATGTACCAGGTTTAAGCATGGGATAGATTATTATAGTATACCCAGAAAAGTTGACAAACCCTGCTTATTTATTTTCTCAAATCTCAAATGTTATTTGTAGACATGATATTATGCACGCATGATAAGGGTCAATCGACAGTGGTAACTTCTTGCAAACATCCATGATATCATTACTACTTTAATCCTCTTCTTGACTTATCCTGTATGCTTGGAAAGACACCTTAACTTATCCCGTACGCATGGAAAGAACTGGTATATGATGCAACGGAAAATCTGAGGAAATGAATCTAGTCATCCGAAATGTAAGGTTGATCTTTACTTTGTACGAGATAACAAACACAAGGCTCGTTGCATTCATGTGAAACTCGAAACGGGGTAATGGTAAGTTTTTATAGAGGATTGTAAGATACGATTGGACTTCCTGTAATCACATCTCACGAACTCTAATTTTGAAAGAATCTCCCCACAGATGCAATTTATTGTCACATTCAAAGAGGTTGCAAGTCATCTGTACGTTTTGCTGATAATATTAGCGTTTTCGGGGGGTTGTTTTTTTTTCTTTTGATCATATTTATCGCAACTAATCGTGTTGCAGATAAAGACCATTAAATATCGTGCATGATATAAATCAGAATAAAAATTAGCATCATTGAAATGAACTGGTAATGAGTTACAAATAATTATGGATTATTAAGCGTCTTTAGGGTGAAAGAATTTTTTGCTTGTACATCGTCACCATCATTTGGAAAGATAATTATTTAATATGATTTTTCTTGGTAATTATATACGCTGTGATTTGGTAAAGGAAATTTTCTTTATTAATGTTATTTTTCAGGATCAAAGAAGTGGTTAAGTAGAAGTTTGACACAGAGATCAGAGGTCCCGTGTAACCCAAGGCCGATATGATATTTGGTACTTCACGTTACCAATCAAATGATAACTGATAACTACAGTATATTTCAGATCTTAATTTCTTGGACAACAAAGACAAGAAATGAGAAGATTAAGAGGTATGACGTATCGATAATTGGAAGTTCTTATAACACGCGTGTGATCCCTAAGCAAGTACATCCAATTTTGGTAGACTGGGTGATGATTAGTGTGTAACTTTCCTTTGCCGGCGAGAATTTTGGCCAATGGGATGACGTCAAACATAACGATCAAAATATTTGTACCATTAGACAGGCACCGTACGTATGCAACTTTGTTGTATCAAATACGTCCCGTTAGAAAAAAGGGGAGATCTTCTATGTTGGTAGGTAGTTAGTTGCATGTCGACAAAAAGCATTTCTCACCCAAAAGATTATTAATTAATTCTTGTCCGAATGTAGTACTCCATTATTTTCTTATGTAAAATTGGCCACCGCGTGCTACTTTTTTAATGTGTGTGCTTAATTCATTTTCCGTATACGTAGCCAATACAATATCCCCCAAGATAGAAGGAATTCCACGAGAAATGCAAAAGTACGATTCAACAATGGCTGTCATCCTAAAATGGAATCTTTATCGTCGCACAACAAAAATTAAATTAAATTGGTGATTACTAGATGCAACAATTTTACTATGCTAAAATTAATCGTGGCTTTTGCCATATTCGCAAAACAAGATGAAAAACCTCTCTTTGTTTGTGTCATGTGTTTAATTAATGATTAGGTGATCAGACTTCCTCCCAGGTCTGAAGGGTCTATGGTGACTCGACTGGAGGCTGTGGTGGACATGTTTTATGCTGCCAAAGAAGGAATACTAATAAATCGAGTGCATCACTTACTGTTGGATTTTCCGTGAAACTTTCTTTAATAGGCAGCGAATTAGTTCCACGTGTGTTCGACAACCTTTTGACGCTTCTTTCGAATCAAGTCGTTATTACCTGAAGGAATGGGATGGACGCAATATGACAATAGGATTTTTCGGAACTATTATCGCAACGTCAAATTGTTTGTTATCAAGATGCTTTTTCGAGAGTTAATTGAAGCGCACGCACACGATTAACGCATCTTTAGGTTAACAGTTTAAGCAGGTTAGAATGCCTCATTCGACATTCAATGAAATAGGTTATCATAATTTTAGTTAATGGAAAACTGTGCACGCATCCGGTATGCAAATTCGCTACTACGATGATCACCACGAGCACGGATCTTATTGTGCACAACAGGTTTGCCAAGCTCACTTTTTTTTTTTAAACATAGGTTACCGTGAAGGTATCACTGTAGGCAAATGAAACTAGCAAGCACCGTCATCAAACATCAGACAATTATCCGACGCCCACACGCAAAACCTCCGGTCAACGAAATGATTAACAAGGATTTCGTTCTTTTTGGTTTAATTTAAACAAAGAACGATTCGGTTGTTAACTACCCCCCCACCCGCCCGCTCACTCCCTAACTCATTCACTCACTCGTCACTCACTTACTCCAGTTTGATGGTCACTTTGTTTTGCACTCAGCCCCGAAAACCGTAGTTCTTGGTCAGCTATTGACACATGCGCACATTCGTTCATTAATGTACAGTATATAATCGTTCAATAGTTCAATTGCATTCATTCACTGGACCATCGATCTCGGTCTGCATCGGTGCTACCGAAACTGAAAGGTGAAAGTGCATCGCTTCTCTCGCTCTTTTTTAATGTGATTCCTTGTTTAAATTTGTTGGATTTTTTTATATTAACTATGCAATCAACACCAAATTGGTGTAGTGTCGAAATCCTGACGTTCGGATCGTTGAAGGACTACGTTGACCCTTGCGATTATGTGGTTAACACGCTTGTGTTCATGTGTTGCAGTATTTAATTCGTCCTATACGTGTTACCACTCTATTTTTGCATCTTACCACAATAAGGTAAACTTGGTTTTTTTTTTTTTCCTAGAGTTCATTATACTCGGGATTTGCGATCTGCAGGTTCTTTTTTTTATGTGTTCACTCTAATAATTTATGCACCTTTTCGAATGATCCTATATAAACGGACCTTTTTCTTCACATATCATCAGAAAATTATATATTTTAAAACTATTCCTCGTCCCCCATAGAAAACGCATGCGTCTGTTTGAATCAATTTTTCCTTGTTCAATTTTCCTTTAAGCTCAATATATAAGCATTGAACTCGAAAAATATAACGTGCTTCAAACATACGTGCTTTGTTTAAAATATATAATTTTGCTGTGTGTAAAAAAATTTTTAAAGAAAACCTCCTGTTTCCACCTTCCTTTCATTCCAACCTTATACATATCGTCTACCTAAGGTAATCTCGAAGAGTCTTCTCTCTTCCAACTTACATTCACCCAAGAAAAAAAAAAATTATATACACACACTTCTCTCTATTCATCTATAGATACTTACACACACTGACATCTTAAACTGAACGCTCGTCCAATCTTCTGCACTTTCGACATTTGCTCTTTTTCTTTTCTTAGAGGCCAGGCGCTTTCATCTCTAGCAAAAGAAAAATCAAACACACAAATAGTTCAAACCAATTGATCAATATATGCTCATACGAAGATGATAGACTACTTGTTTACCTTCTCATCCTTGTTCGCGGTCTTATTATGCATCATACCTGGAATCTTTCACATACAGACTCGTAATTGGGGTGCAATATTCATGACCTTCTGGGTTATTGCCATCAATCTAATTACGTTCATAAATTCTCTGCTGTGGGCAAACGACCTGGAGGACAAAGCCCGCGTGTATTGTATAATTACCACTCCGATATATGTTGGCGGAAATTATGGAATCTTGTCTTCAATCACTTGCATGATACACACCCTTTACACTTATGTGGCCAGTCCCATGCTGCTGACGGAACGAATCAAGCGACGACGGATGATTAGAGATATCATAGTTTCCTTAGTATTCCCGGCGATAGGAACGGCTCTCTTTTATCTGGTCCAAACCCGTATCTATGGAATTCGGCCGATACTCGGATGCTTTTCGCCAGCCCACAAAGATTGGGTTTTCCTTCTCGTGAATAGCATATGGCCTCCCATTATTTCTGGCATCGGATGTTACTATGCGGGTACGTACAAGTCACGTGTTTTATGCGCATTACGTCACGCCTTGACTAATGTCTTTTTTCCAAAAATAGCTCTGACCTCCTATGCGATTGTTAAGAAACGTCTTGAAATGCAAAGCATCCTCCAATTCACCGAAGGTCTAAACACTGCAAAATTCTATCGACTGGTGTTTTTCTGTATCACCTTTCTTTTGCTCTCCTTCCCGAGCTCGGTGATGACTTTATTTAGCAATCTCACCTTGAATCTTCAGCCATACAATTTCTACGAAATTCATAAGGACTTTTGGAAAGTCATACCATTCACCGGTGATAACCTGGGTTTGGCACTTTTCGATTACGCGAAACCACTGGTAGGATTCTTTGTCTTCCTGTTCTTTGGAACCGGTCAAGACGCTCTGTCCACTTACGCTATTTGGGCGAGGGCCTGCAAATTGCACATATGTTTTAAGTGCCTGGAGCCCAAGGAAGAGGATGGAGATGGATTGCATAGTACTATTTCCACCATGAGATCCATGTAAGTGTGTATTTGCGCATATGCTGTCTAAGAAGATATGTTTCGCGAACTTGCCCATTCACTTCATTTTCTATGATTGCTCTCTTAGCCACAGTCCATCACACACATATCAAGCCAACGGTAACATGCAAAGTACTCACTCTCCAAGATCTCCAAGGGGACACCGTCACTCTATCACGTTCCCGGGTTCAAACGCTGTCGCACCACCTGTCATCACCGCTCAGAAACCGAAGAAAGGTTCCTTCAATTTCCTTTACCTCAATGGGCATCGTACGCCCACGGAGCAAGCCCAATTTGATTTGACCAGTGGAATAAAAATAAAGATCGATGGATTGGACTCTAGAACCATGGGTAATGATTTTGGTGACTATGATGATCTAAATGAGGAACCTGCTCCAATTTATAATCGAGGAATTCACGAAACCTTGGAAAGAGACCATCAACACAATGGCGAAAAAGTATTAAATGATTCCGACACATTTGGCAGCGACGCATCATTGAAAGATCATGAGATGCCGACGTTACCGCTGAAGGTCTTCGAAGTTGATCTCGGCAGCGTATCTCACATCGATGATCTGTTGTCTGTCTACCCAGACTCTGAATTTGGAGATGAAGGTGACGGTCAGGTTGACCTTCCGCAGTTCAACATTTGTCCCCCGACACCCCATAATGGGTCATACGAGAATCACGTGTTTAGTTTAAACGGTGAAGTTGAGACCTTTGTGGCCAACGGAATAGACGATGTCGCCGAGGACTATCGACAAATAAGAAATCCCGTGGAAATTCAGGTGATGTCAGAGAGTGTCATCAGTAGTCAAAGTATCGAAGGTGCTCCGTGAGTTTATTAGAATGGACAATTGACTCCCTTAATAATCCCCACATAGAATTTTTTTTTTTTTATATAAACTTTAATTCGACGGCTATGCGTAATATCATTTGAGACGTCATCTTGTAGAATGACTCAAATCACATCTGTACCATTATCATATTTGTATCATTACCATATATTGTAATTCTCCACACACATGCGCAAACCCATTCGTAAATAATTCTACCTTCTTCTTATACATAGCATTGTACTTTTTAATCATGCATGCATCTACCTCTGTCTATTTTGCATTATCTTTTTTTAAAAAAAAGAAAAAAAAAAAAAATTACGTGTCTACAGTAAATCTCTTTCAAAACTATCGCAAGTTAACATCAACGTGGTGCACATGAAATATCCAAATTATTTTTATTTATTTTATCTTTTGGTCAATCTATGAGACCTAACTTCTCTCCATGTTGTACATAAAAAAAACTCAACTATTACCTTTTTTCTCGGTATATCTTATCACTAGACTTTATCACTCATTCATTATCATCTATAACTGGTCGTTTTTCTCTTCATCTTCTGTTATCAATACGATCACTCCATTGATCCTTTTTTTTTTCTTTCGGCGGAAACGCCGAGACATCCGCTTCATGCCAACCAACATCCAATTCGCGTCAAAGCCTGCTCAATAATGGATTCGTAAACGGATTAAAGGAAAAGCAACATTCGCCTTGTCCCGGGCAAACCCATAGCATAAAATTCACTTGGTGCTTTCTGTTAGTTTTTTTTTTAGGGAAATCACATTTTTATTCCGCTTTTCAAATCGAAAAAGTTCACGATCAATAGAAATTATTACAATATCTAGATTATTTCTTGGTACCTGTAAAAAATTGGTTGAACCCGCGAATAAATGGATCGCCAATTAAAAAAAAAAAAAAATTAATTCCATGTCTTTTATACATCCGCGTCGCATTTTATCAAGTTTCGTGGTAATAATTACATAAGTGCCTTATATTTTAAAACGTGTCGATGCAATATACTAAATTTTTTTTTAAAAAAAAAGAAAAAACAAATTTTATATTGACAAAAAATTATTATTTTTATTAAACTACAATATATATAAATATGCTGAAAAATCATATTTATTTACAGGGAATCATAATTTATAAAATATTAAGTAACTCGATAGATATTTCAGTAATTAAAAAATAAATTATTTTTTTTTATGATAATCGAATTAAAAAAGTTTTACAGGTAATGAAATTGAGTACCTAACCATTTCAAAAAAAAACACCATTTTCTGTCAATACTAGCTTCCATCATGGGAATTAGGTGTCTTTGAAAATAATTTATTTTTTACCCTTGGCCTATTTCCGAATTAAAGATTATATATGATTATAAGAAATCAATTAAAGAATGCCTCCGTATGCAAAAATTGTTATTGGCTATATATTTTAACCAATCAACGTGCAGTAGTCATCAGCTGATCTGTGAAACGGTCACGAAATTTTTTCATTTAAAAGAAACGCGTTTTCGATTCTTCGTTATTAAATGACACTTCCTAGCTCCTTGTGATAATTAACATAAATTACTTATTCAGGTGCGTCGATAGTTTTTTTCTTTTCGCACCATAGTATTTCGATAGCTCTGTTAAGCACGAGAAGCGCCAGCGGGCAGACTGGGAACACTAGATCTGTCGGAAGCCAATATTGGCAAGTCATCAATAGATGGCCGGCTTTGAGTGAAGATTTCAATCGCACAGAGTTATTGTGGGTTGTCGGACACAAAAGACGCCAGCGGGCAGACTAGAATCTCTAGATCTGTCGGAAGCCAATAATGGCAAGTCATCAGCGGATGGCCGGTCTTGAGTGAAAGTCATCTCACTTTGATGACCAATTGATGAGTTTTGTCTAACAAGATACTTACCCATATCTTTTACGATTTGAGAATGCCGAAATCGGAGAGCAAGAAAAAAGAAATCATAAGATGGATGATTAATTGTGATAATCCTACACCCCTTGCGTTCTATCGATTCGTAAAACCAAATCATCATAACCGTGCGGACGAGAAGTATCGTAATGCTCTTAATTCAGCAAAGGAATGCAATCCTAAAAATAGAGAGATACAGAAGAAGCTTACAGAAATGCGAAAGAAGTTTGATGTACATATTCGAATACATTTTTTTTCATGTTTATTATTGTATTTCTCAGCTTGCTCTCTCTTTTAATTAGGAAGGAGAATTTAGACAAGACTGGGAAATTTGGATACAAGAGAAGAGAGCGGTATTCCAAGTTATTGCAAACTTTTAAGCTGTATAGACTCGCGATCGCTAATACAAATATTCCTGCCTTAGACTCAAGTTCACCGTTCGATTCAAGAGACCAATGAGAATGTCCACAAAAAATTCAATTCGTTAGTTGAAAGTCAGGTTATATAACTTTTTTAATCATGATTGGTATTTTTTGAAACATTGTACTCAAAGGATATTCCTGCTACAGAGTGTTATTGTCAAACAAGTGGAAGAGAAAGATAAAGAGCGCAACGAGAAACGATCACAAATAGACAATGGATCTGATGATGTTGCTGTAAGTTTATTTTTTGCGTAATTCTATATATACTACATATTCCACTAGTAAATGAACATCCGTTATTTAGGTTGCAGTTGAATTAGCAAAGAAAAAGAGTAAAACTGATGAACTTTTCGAAGATATGAGAAAACGCAATATATATATGCTATGTGACCCATTTAGAAAATTATCGCAAATAGATGCGGAGGACCGGTTCGAGAGTATTGTTCGCGGCACTTTTGTTGATATTGAACTCCCCATAGATATCAAGGAATACCTTCGTTGTTTGCTCAGTGGAGATATTGAAAGTGCATTGTCGGAAGTGGAAAAACCGCTTAAAAAGGGTGTACAGCCATTGATGTTATGGACAAGAGAAGTCTGTCGACACTTTCTATTTTACTTCTACTATGATGGTTTGCAAATAGACAGCGACGAAAAAACTTGGTCCAACCAAACCGTCTATCGCATTCTTGATTTATTTTCGATGTTTTTTAGAAATTTGACATCTGGAATAGCTTTGTAAGATTTTAATTTGTATTTTTTTTTAATGATAAATTGACACTTATTTTTAATTTAGTGGAGAAATCGTAAATGATGCACACAAAGATAGAGTTTATAACATAAACGCTAATCAAAAACCATCAAATTCAAGGAGAGGCGACAAGAATGATGCTGTCTTATATCAGGATGGTAACGCTACAATTATATATGAGCAGTCCTTCGGACCCACAGAATTCGACTCAACACATTATATGGGAGATATAACGAAATTAGCACGTAACGGAGTGGATGATTTAAATTATCACTTCTTACAATATTCCAAATCCACTGTAACAACGGCAAAAAAACTCAAATCTATCGGCATTCACGGATATAGTAGGTCTTTTCCTTTTTTTGCAACAGTGTTGCTTGATAGAAAACCTACCTAACTTCTATGCTTTTAGAATACTTTATATCAATATACCTCACGGATCTTATTCGTATGAAAACTTATAGAATATATGAAATATTTAAGTGTAAAATTCCAACGAGTTATACAGACCGATGGCTCCTAGCTAATATCGTAATGATAGGGGTTTATTTGGAGGTATTTCTATACTAGACATATGGAGGCATCTCATTTACTATTACTTATTGTGGTTTTATCTATCTTTATAGTTACTGCTTACGACACGTCGGTCTGTGAAAGAAGACATGGGCATGGAAGACACAATCATCGATCATGGTTTTTATCATGTGCGTGATTGGATGGTAATTCCAGATAACACTCCAGAAAACAAAAGAACAAAATGATATCAGATGTGTTATATTTTTGCAAAAAAAAACTTCTACTTCACTGCATTTTCCCGTTGTATGTTAGCCAGTAAAAAATTACAATACATGAGAATTCCTAGCGACAAATCAACATATTTCACCAAGTGTTGGATGTGCATCTGAGAACAATGTATTTGTGGCCATGGCATAAAATCCTCTTAGTACAATATCAATTATTATTTGAATATTATAAACTTTGAGATATTTCAATCCAATCTAATTGCTACTGGTTTAAATGCATATCAATAATCTTAAATACTTTTGGGATCTTGAGTTTTATAAATAATTGTAGAAGTTTGTAAATATTTATAGTTTACATATATGGATAATATACCTTGATGCCAATTACTAATAAAATAAACTTTTTTTAATTTGATCTAAATTTTTATATAATAATTGTATTTTTTATTCTAATACAAATTTAATTATATCCGAACCTTGTTTAATAATAACAATTTTTTAAATGTAATATTTTCTCGATATAACTTAAAACAATTTATAAAATTTGAAAACTAGTTTAAATTAATTGTTATTTTGACTTAAACATTTGATGCATTTTTTTTAAATATTGATTTAATTTTGTTTATTGGTTTTTTTTTCAAGACTTAATATATATATATATAATGAAAAAATTTTTAATATAAATGAAATATTAGTTTATTTACTTTACTTATAATTTAAGTTATATAGTATAAATAAATAAATAAATAAAAATTATACTAAATCTTTTTACATTCAATAATTATTCAATATTTTTATAAAATCTTTTACATTAAAAACAAAATTTGTTAAAAATCACTTTTTGCTTTACAGAATTCATATACAAAATAAAAAACACAATAATGATTTTTAAATATAAAAAAAAAATTTTTTTTTAAAAACAAATAATCAAAATTATTTTATCAATTTAAATCTTGATTTTTACTTAATTTAATCAATTGTTTATTAGATAATAATCAAACCATAAAATATTATAATTTTTGTTCTATACTATATGTTTTTTAATATAAATAAACAATAATTATAAAATTTTTTAATAATTTTTTTGTTATATTAATTGTTCTATATTGCTTATAAAGTTATAATATTTATTTTTATTTTTTTATTTTTTTAAAGAAGTAGAAGGTTATTATACTTTATTTTATTATTATAATTTTAGACTTGCAAGTATAAGATTTATAACACATTTACAATATAACATATATCTCTCTTTGTTAGGAAGAGTTAAATGCAAGGCTTCACAAATGCAATCCATCCTCTATACTTCTTGGCACCATCCAAGAATATAGAAAAAAGAAGTTCAAAACCTATATTATGTCTCAAATAGTGTTTAGCTATCTAGAGAAATTTGATACCTAATTATATAAAGGTGTTATAGCCACTATATACAGGTTGGCAGGTCTCAAGTTTGTCTCTTTTTTTTCTTAGTGTGGGAAAACCATGGTGACATAAAAATATATGATCTAAAGTTTCTAGGTGTGCCTCGCATCAGGGACATAGATTATCTTTGTAGAGAAGAGGATATCTTTTGTGAAGTTTGTCTTAAGTAGGGAATTGATTTGTTACAATTTTGGTTCTGAAAATTGTTAGTGATCAAAATTTTAATGTTTGTTTCTGATAGTTTTTTGTTAAATCTAATAATAATGTCCATTTCGAAGAAGCTTCTCGGTTTGTTTGTAGCAAATTTACTTAGAAGAATATTAAAAAAGTTGATATAGTAGTTTATGAACTTAATTCATTATGTGATGCTGGTTGCAAGGTTGTTGTTGATTAGTGGGAATGTGCTATGGACAGTTGGGAACACAAGAGGAATAGGTGTCGGTATGCCTTGAGAAGTCGTTAAGGTGAGTTCTTTTTTGTCGAAAATCCAGATTAAAGTGATCTTTTGCTTTTGAGCTGTGTGTTAATAGTTTGAATAAGGCTGCTGTGAGGATATTTTACCTGGCGATTGGTGTATTTGGGTAATTCTGTGCTGAGTTTGTATATGGAGAAGCAAGTGATTGTAAATAGTTGAGAAGTATTTGAGCAAAGTGAGGCAAAAATTGATCAGAACAGAGGGAGAGAATTAGAATTCAGATTGTATATGAGAAATGTCTGAGAATCATATATAGTAATTATATTGTTGTTTAAAAAGTACATTGTATAATGAATTGGTATTGAAGATAAAGGTTGATAGGGAATAGTTATGGTTGAGGTGTGAGGAGTCCAGGAGCGAAGCTATTGGTAAGTTCTTGCAAATTATTGAGAATGTAGTATTTGCTATTTCTTTTTGTTGACCATATGGATTTGAGTTTATTGATATTGTGAGTTTTGAAGCATGGCTATATATTACAAGTACATGCCTCTAGACATTTGGCATTGTTGGCTATATAGTAAGAACCTGTAATAATTTGATGTGCGATGGCATTGTATTTGATCTTGATGAAATTTGATATGTTAGTGTCTGTTAGATATGTCCAAAACTGTGGTCTGCGATTGGGTGCTAGTAGTGTGTCTCTGATGATTGTGAAACTTGATTGTGGAATGTTTGTGAACCAGTGAGGAGCAGGACCGATTGATATGTAGCCTTTGTGCGTATGAAGTTCTTGCTATGAGAGTTTATCACCAGTTGTGAAGATGAATAGGTTTTGTACTGTTTTAAGGTTAGCATAGTAGAGTGTGAGAACTACTTTTTTATTGATTTTGGTGAAAAAGTCAATTGACTGCTGGTGGTTTGGAATTTCGAAGAGGCATGGAAAAGGGCAGATGTTAATATTGTATTTTTTTGCTAGCTGTGCTGTCGCTGTTAATCATGTTGTTTTAAAGAAAAGTGGGTCACAAATGGGATATGACCAAATTGCACTTGCTGCTAATTATATAACTATATTATTTTATATTTAAATTAAATAAAACTTATAATATATTTACAATTTTTTATTACCAATTATTTGTCACAATCTTATTAATTATATATATATATATCTTTTTTTTTTTTTTAGTTATTAAGCAATGTTAACTATTATAAAAAACACACATGTTAAAACTTTATTAACTTTATGAAAACAAAAGATAAGGAAAACAGCTAAAATATAAAAAATTATAAAAATATCCAGATCAATTATTTTTTATAACTTGGTAAAGTTATGTAAGAATAGAATTACAGCTTACTAAAAACAATTAAATTATCTAAAAATAATTAATTTGACTATTTCAAAATTGTTTGATCAAATTATTAGAAAAAATTCAATAGTTTCTACTAAAAAATTAATAAATAAAATATTTTTAAAAGAAACAAGTATATTTTATAGCACAATATTAGTCAAAATTGATTTATTTGATATAATGTCACTTGTTAATTATTTGTCAAAAAAGTGTATAATTCGGCTAATCAAGTTTATATAATTTTTATCTTCAGCTATAAAGCAGCATATAATTTATTCAGCATATAAATGATATACTTTTTTTAAATCTCATTTTAAAGAAATTAATATTTCAACAGTAAAATGAATAATTTATTTTTTGTGTCAAATATATATACTGTATATGTTTTGATTTTGCCAAATTATATTACTTTGATAAATTATATTATCTTGTCAAATATATATTACTAAATTATAATACTTTGCCAAATTATATTATCTTGCCATATATATATTTTTGTTAAATTATATTACATTGCTGAATTATATATATTTTGATAAAATTTTATATATTATATTTGTGATTTAAAAAAATAATAGCTAAATATTCACAAGAATCTTGTCTATTTGAAATCTTATATTTAAATGGAATAAATTGGTTAAAAATATTGTAAATAGGAATTATATATTTGCATCTAAGCAAATAAAATTCAGTATTTTATAATTCAACATTTTCATCATTTTTGGATTTAAAATAGAACCTAATATTTGCCAAATTAATAGATTTAAATCATCGAATAAAAATCAAATTGTGTTTTGTTACATTATTCAATAAGTTGATTGAATAAGTAAAGAAAAATTGAATCTATCCTGGATATAAATTAATACTTCCATTATGATTCACAAATTGGACTAAAACAAATGAACTTTTTATATTTCATAATGACATAACAAAATCAAAGATTTTGCTTCCAATTTGGCATCTTTCATATTGATTGGCTCTATTTTAAACAATTATTGAATTATTATTAATATCTTCAACAAATAGCCTTTAAAAGTTCATGGTTTCATAAGAAGCTTTATAATATTCGATCAATAAATTCAAGATTTCAGAAGATACAATTAAATTTAATTTTTCAGAATACAATAGTTTGTCAGAAAATTGTTCAAATCTATTGATAACTGTCTCTTGAATATTATATGTGTTGTTTAAGAATTGGCATAGTTTGTTTGCCAAAAATTGATCCAATTCTGAAATTAATCTGATATTTGATTGATTGATTATTTAAGATTTCGAG